TAGGCACCCAAATCAGTGGCCACTTTTTGTTGCTCAAAGTGAGTGGTCTATAATTATGCAAGGAATCCAGCCAGGAATGTATTCTGAATCTCAGAACTTCTGGCCCTTCTCCCCCCCTCCCTCCACTTTAACCACAAGACTGTTTTTCCTCCCTCTGTTGCTTACTTAATTAATTAGTGGATATTTGTACAACCATTTGTACAACCATTAGTGGATATTTGTACAACCATTTGAACCATTTGTACACCAATGAAATCAGTGATCTTGCTCATTCGGCTAGATTTCACCAGAGAAAACTCGCAAAAGGATAAAGTGTAAATGTGGTTGTTACTCTCTGGCATCAGCACCATTGCATAATGACAGTAACTGGATCTGAAACGGCTGTCCTCTTTTCATTGACAGCAGGCTTGGTGTGGAGAAACCTTAAGGCCTGATCATACAAAAGTAATAGGAGAGGGAGTTATGTAGCCCCTTGCAGAGGTGTTGGGAAGTCACATTGTTTAGCTGGAAATCTGAAACTAAAGCCCAGAGCTGTCTGAGGTAGCTTTCTTTTGCCCAAGTGTGAAGTTATGCTTATTTACCCTGTAAATTCTTTGAGTGACGGTCCCTATTATATTCCACTAAGGGTTATGCGCATGCACCCACACCTGAAACTGTTAAAAGTAGTAGTGTCCATTAGTCTGCACTAGGGATGTAAAAAAAATGTGGTTAAAAATCCCGTTGTGGGCTCTGCAGTATAATGTTTATAAGCAGGCTACCAGCCCCGCTTCTGGGGAGCTGGCTTTGCTGCCGGTTCTGCAGTATAACTTTATACTATGGAGCCCCCAGTGTGGGGGGAACAGGAGCCGGCATGTAACTGTAAGGAAACTGATAAGCTGATGCTTATCGGGTAACCATTTGAGCAGTTACACTTTGACATCCCTAGTCTGTACATGTGCCCGTGTTCCGCTCCACAGTTTGGATGGAGGCGAGAAAGGGTGGGGCAGACTGATCACACTCTTAGTTCCTTCTCATTGTTGCATGGTCTGTGTTGGAGCTTCTGGTGTTCTCTCGTCCCTTGAGATGCATTTTCCCTCTCTCACTAAAAAGGCCATTTGTTCTCGTCCACAGTTAGCACTTAGCAGCTTGAGTGTTTAGTAGCAATTTTATTAGGACGTAGGACTTTGGGACACCATCCTGGCAGTTTCCTGCCTTATCTAGCACAATGTAACTGTGAGCCAGGACTGGGGCTCCTGGGTGCGACCACAATACAGTAATAAAGATGGCACTGCAGGGGAAGCTGTTTTCATTTTCTTTCTGCTGCACAATGCCAGCGTAACTGGGGATGGGAGAGTGGCAGCAGCAAAGCGAGTGAGCGAGAGGTAGCATTCTGCTATGAAAGGGGGAAAGCCTTCAATAAAAGGCACGGTGTTCAGAAAAATAGAGATGTGACAGTGTGTGGCCAGGTGAATGGGCTCCTTTGTGTTCTCACAAAGCCATATTGTGTATGGCTTGTAGCAGGTATTCTGAGATGCCCCGTGGAACCTCGCTCAGGTTCACAGGAGCATTGCTGAAGGGCCGTGGCTGGTTAAAGGCACCCGACTCTCCAGGCAGCAGCGGCAACGATGCCAAGGACATGTTTGGGGTGTGGCTGTTGCTTAATCCTGCAGTGAGAGAGCAAGGCAGCCCCAGCGTTAGAGTTTCTGAGTGGGGAGCACCGAGCAAGTTTCAGTGTTTTGAAAAGGGTTTATTTGTTTTAAAAAGAAACCAGCCCCTTGAAAGCTGAGTGGCTTGAGAAAGAAGTGCTTCCTGGTTCCACTTTGCCGCTGCTGAGCAGATGTGAGTGCTGGCAAGGGACTCGGGGCAGTTGCAAAGGGTCTTAATCGCTCAGCATCATGTGAATGATTTAATTCACATTTCACTCTTGGATCCTCGGGCTGAGTCATTGTGTAGTTTTCTAATAGACAGGAAGCTGGGTGGGGTGCTCTTTTGAGAGGAAAATAAAGAGGTTTGTCCAGCCACACTGGTCAGTCGGGACCAAAGCCTGCAGCCTGGATTGGAGCCAATACAGGACTTTCTGGTCCGCCAACTTCCAGGGTGAACCGTGCAAAGTTTCACTAGTGTTACTGAGATATTTGAGGATCTGCTATACCATAAAATATAGATATGTATATAGTTTTTCCCCTATCACAAACCACTTTATCTCACAATGGGAGTATATCATGTGATTGACCACTGAAATGCAGCTACCTCTGAAGTGAAACACAGCAGCTGTGTATAGTCCCACAACAGAGGAGTCAACAACAGTGAGTGAAGAATGCTGTATTCAGTTGCAACAACAGACAGAAGCTGGTGGAAGAACTTGGCTGGCATCCCGGGGTTAACACCCATGTTCCATGGAATATGCTCAGGAGGCCAGAGAACTCGTCTGAGAGGAAGCACCTCCAGCAGCAGAGTGGCCCCTATGGCTGTGGTAAGGCATCTAATCCAAGCTAAGTTGCACCATGGAACCCCTTTCTACAATAGCAAAATGTTCTCTGAAAGGCTTCCCTGTCCCGCCCCAGCTTTGTGCACTTGATGGCACGTTGTTCACAGGCAGGCCGCATAGTTAGACTGGCTAAACAAACCACAGTTCAAGGCTTGTCACACTATTCAACTGCTACTGCCACAAAGTGCTTTACAAACAGCATGACAAAGAGGCTGGTCTACAGAGCGCCCTGTGCAAATAGACCTTGCGCTGCGCTCCACTGCTAACTCATCTTTAAAGCCTTCTCCTTCACCTCCCTTTACAACCTGAGTGTTCGCACTTGGATCACGTTGCCATGGCAGTAATAAAAAAAAACAACCCACAGACACGTTACTACTTCTTCCTTAGAAAAAACCCACAACAATAATTGGTATCACTGTGCAAGGTTGCTGGCATTAATTATACATAAATGCAGTTATACCTGCTATAATAACAGTGAATTTATAGCACTAAGCTGCATGCTGCTGTTTAGGCCGATGAGGCTGTCACAATATGATGAATATAGGAAGCAAAAAAGTGAGGGGTACAGCAATTTGTGTTTATTGCCTTTTACAGTAAATGTTTAAGTACAATAAAACAAGGACTTAAGGCATGTGCGCGCGTGCGTACACACACACACACACACACACACACACACACACAAATACAAATATTCCACAGTCTTTATAAATGGATGGGCCCCCCCCCCCCCCCCTCTCTTCTCTTCACAAAAGAATTCATCATTCCTTGGAGAAGCAGTACTACGAGAATACAAATAATAGTCAACTATACATTTCAGAAAGTTTGTCTGTTTGTCTCCCAGCTGGGAGACATGCACAACTACCGCTGGCTGTGCTCACTCAGTAAATATGGAGAGGCACTTCTCATCTGGCCCCAATCTGCTGCACTTAGAGATGGCTGGAGTTGTCTTCTCCCCCCAAGGCAAACTGCATACTGAACCCCTCATTCCCAGCCCAACCACAGAACAATGATCTAAATGAAGAAAAACAAAACTTGTTTGAGATAAGGACCCGAGCAACGCCAGGTAAAACTTCTAGTAGTAATAACAACCGCCACCACTAGCTAGGAGAAGCCTGCTTAGCAACCCTAGGCCTATAAAAAGAGCAATGCCGCACCACTAGCTTCTTAATAGAAATTGCTAAATCTGCACACATTTGGTAAACATTTCTCAGCGTGAGGGGAATAAGGACACGTTTGCTATGCTGAAGGTCTTGATTTTCCTGATCCCCAAGACCTTGTGTAGAAGTAATGAGCACACATTCAAAATGTCATTGCTTTGCCACTCTGGCAGGATGAATGGATTATTAGGAAACCTTGTAACATGCTGGTTTCTCAATGAAGAAAAATCTGCTGGCATGGTAGTAGGCGGTCAGCTGCCAACTTATCACCCTTGGCAAGATGTGGGGGTGGAAGAGGGCTGAGAGACAGGTGTAAAACCTTTCACAACATCAATTTGTTAGAAAGCAAGAAAAATGAGGAGGATGTGAAACATCTGGTGTGATAAAGTGAGTGACAGCCACAGAGATATGTGCTGGCTTTCCTTCTCAGATAAAATTCAAGTGCCCATTTCATTCTCTGTCCAGCACTACCAGGAGACTGTATGGGGCACAGGTTTGGGTGTTTCTAGGATTGCCAGTGCTCACTCAGAGCAAGAGCCTTTCTGCATTAGGGTTATCTACTTCTCCTCTCTTTCTATGAACTATGGCATTATTTGAATGAACTTCTCTACGGTTTGGGGAGCTTTTAGAGTGAACATCACCATGACAGAGCTAGACCTTAAGTTGGCCCATTAAAAGATAGTACCTCACTCAACCTGTTCCACTAAGATCCTTACAACTACAACACCACCGTACACTAGGGATGCTAGATATAGTGTAATTGAATAGTCATGTAACCGCATGAAATTTTAGTGGTTTCGTGACTATTCAACAGCCCCCGGGGAGCCCCCTGCCACACCACACTGCTGACTCTCTATCAGAGGCTGCCATGCGGGGTGGCAGGCAATGTTCCCTCTAAGATTTTCCATCCATGAGCAGAGTGAGTTTCATCTTTTGCACCCATATTGAGGTCATGTGCGCTTGCTCAGCAGTGTGCCACTGTAGCACCCACCAGTTATTAACAAATATCTTAGATATATGTTATGGAAGAAGGAATACTAAAACGAGGGATAACTGACATCATGCTGTGGCTATTCTCTGCTCCCCTCTCCCTGGACCAATGGGGAACAGATGGGGGAACAAGGCATGAGGTAGACGCAAGGGGCTGGCTAGGTCCAATGTGAGGAGCACATGAAAAAAGAGACCCACAGCCAGGTGAGGGAGAAGCTGCACTAACCAAGGGAAGCCTGACTCTTTCCTGAAGGCATCAGGACCAGAGCAGTACAAGTGAAGCTAGGATTTTTTTTTAAAGTGGGGGTAGGGTGGGAAAAAAAATGTGAAATCATTACCACTCTCTCTACCACAAAGCTATTTTAAAACTTTTTTTATAAGAGCCAAGCACTCAGCCTGTGTTCTCTCCCTCCAACTTCCCAAAACGAAAGAAGGAACAGTCATCAATAACAGACAGCAGCTGCATTAAAGCAATGTTGTCTGCTCACCTCCCACTCAGAAGAGAACACTTTAACTCCTCCTTGGGGTTAGCGAGACCTACCACTTCCAGCTGCCCTTCTCTAGTTACAGACTATAGAAATGATCCCTGAAAGTATAGTCAATAGGACAATGCTCGGATACATGTTCACACTAACGTGCATAAGCTTTCTTCTCATGGTGAATGTTTTCATACAACACTTAGAAAACTAAAGAGCACAAATAATGTTAAACTGCTTATCCGCCAGATTTAGAAATCTGTATATTAGAATATACTCCATGTCCCTGTCGGGGACTTGAACCCGGACGGCCTCTGTTCGTTGTCTGACCGCAAAGAGACAGGCAACACCAGCAAGATCCAATCACAAGCTCTTTATTGAATGGTGCACACAATAATAGAGAGCGGCCCATCTCCAAAGAGAACCAGCCCCGATTTCATTTACAGGTAGGCTTATATAGACAGTTCCATCACGTCATAGACTATTCGCCCAAGCAGCCAACCTCCCTTTATCAGTTAGAAACCTCTAATACCCATGCATACCTGGCCAACTATACATCATGGCCTTAAGCAATTCATAATGCATCAGCAATTCCTTATCAGCCCAAAAGACAGGTACTGGGCAATAAGGAGACAGTTTGTTATGGTCAAAGGAGAACATAAACAGGGAGTTTGGAACAAACGGGGAGAGCAGAAACAGGGAGTCTTCTTATCAGTTCTCAAAACAAACTGTTCCTCATCACAGCAGGTACAAAAATGCAGCTTCTTGCTTATCTCATTTTGCCAACTTGAGCAAGCGCGTAGGGTGCGTCCCTGCTTGAACCTATCTCCAGTTCTGTCCAGGGACTACCCAGAAACCTTTGTTACATTTGCTTTAGCATAACTGCACTAGGCTTATTTTCTAGGGCCTAACATCCCTATTTATGGAAACACACCTTGGGCTCCTCTGTATCACATGACAGTTATCAGACACACCTCCCGATTAGCATGCGGAGCACCTGGCAGCCAATCAAAATCTCTTGCTTTTACTTCTGAAACTGCCGCGCCTTGGGCTCTACCACATCACATGACAGTTATCAGACACAGAGGATGCTGACAGGTCAGAAACAGTCTCTGCAGCTGTTTCTCCCCCTTGCTCTCAGTCTGCTCTAAAAGCTTTTGTATGACGATGATGATGGCTTCATGTTACTGGAGGCACTGCACTAAAATAAGTGGCCCTCAACTTTACAGACAACTGTAGCCCTTCCAGGAGTTATCTTGCATACCCACCAAGTGTCACCTCATTTAATAACGCCTTACTTACAAAATCAGACTTCATACAAAAGTGTCAAAACTCTGCTAGCTGTTATTGAGAAATGATTTGCTTTCTCATTTTTACCATACAAAAATAAAATAAATCAACTGAAATATAAACATGGTGCTTACACATCAATGTAGCGTATATAGAGCAGTATAAACAAGTCATCATCTCCATCAATTTTAATGTGTTACAACTGTGCTCATGCTTTCTATGTAGCTGTAGCCAGACCGGAACCCCCCTTGTAACATTCATTTTTGCTTTCCTGGAGCATCCAGGGCACACAGAGCAAAAGGCCCAGGCTGTGTGACCGTGAATGGCTGTAAACAGAGATACGCCAATTGCTAACCAAGAGGCTGCCAAGGAGTGCCCTTAACTCAAACCCATATTGATACAAACATACATCGATCCGCGGGGGAAGAAATCTCTCGCCCAGTAAAAAAATGTCTAGTATTCACAATTTACCGTAGTTATCTCTCTTGCAAGTGAAAATTAACTTAAAACTTGCTTGTAAAAACTGGTGCCACAAAACGGACCAGTACAATTCGGCATCTTAAATAAGAAAAAGAATACGGGCCCCCAGGGGTATATAGATGGGTCCAGCAGCACATTTTCTCTAAGTGTCAATCTACCATCTATCTGCTGGTCAGGTTAGGTGTTTAATCTCCCGAGGTTCCAGAGGGGATGCCCACCTCGTATTCGTCTTTCCTAAAAAATTCGTCAGCCCTGGCCTAACACGCTGAAGTCAAAAGGCACAAAAAAGGGTAAAAATTGTACCTGAATGTGGTCCTTTGCTTAAGTATATATATACATAGTGTTAGAGCTCTTTAAAGATTAAGCTGTCACTTGGTACCATTATTTCTATTTTCTATCTTTACCTTTTTCCTGTAACCATTTTTAAGACCTATATATATATTTGCTAGCATTTAAGAAATAGAGCAATAGCCATTGTAACCATATGCTTTTATAAGTCTTTTAATAAACCTGTAACTGTTTAAGCTTTAACCTGACTCCTTCAGTTGCTGTAACAGAACCAAGCACAATTTAAAAGAACTTCAGC